GTTACACTACTAAATGCGGTTTGTTATATTAAACAGGAATTAAAATGAGGGATAGATACTATCATTCCTAATTTTCTTCAAAAACAGTTTACAACTGAAGGATTAAAGAATGTAGTAGTTTCCTACAGCCATAAATATGTTTACAACTGTTTTATCACTAAAACAAAATCACTAAATAAACAAATAAGAATCTATTTCCTGTCTGGTGGTTTTGCAGTAAACTTTGAAACTGTGCCAGTTATATAAAAAAAAAAAATAAAAGCTAGTATTTGCCTATGGCTTTGCAAATATATAGACAATCGTTAACTCTTTTCTTTATGACTTTATAATAGATATACTGATAACACTTACAATTTTGCATTAGGCGTTTTCCTAAAAGATTACACCATTCTTCCATTTGATGTATTCTGTGTGTAAACCATTCTGTTTTTCAATTCTGATTAATCCTATTGAAGAAAATCCTTTCTCTAATAAAATCTGAAGTTAGTTTGGACATCTGCTACACTCGACATGAAAAGAACGAAATTCGGATTTTAGAAACCAATGTCAAGTCAGTCAGTTCTTCAATAAATAGGTCAGAAACTTGGCCAGATCTTCACAGAAAGCATTTCCAACAGGCTACTGAGGATTTTTATCAACGACTGCCTTTGCCAGCTCTGTACTCAAGATCTAATGGCAGGTCAGAAAGAACTAGCAATTGATCAATAAATATGTAAGAGATAATGTTAATGGATGGATCGAAGACACATTGAAGAGGCCGTTTGCTGACGTCATGCACTAGGCCATCTCTCAACTGACACTTGAATGGGAGGCGATGAGTTAGGTGCGTGTCTAAGGGTGACATGAAAGAAGTAGTGTAAGCAGGCAATGAGGGTCTACAGACAGTCGCTGAGCCAGCTAAAGAGGACAAAGGAAATGATAATGACGATAATAAATGACAATTCTTTCTCCTTCAAGGTGGGTTGTTGAAAACCTTGAATAAATTTCATCATGAATGTTTTGAATTGCTTTTGAAAATTGTTGTGCCTGATATTAAGAATACGGTAAGTTGCATGACTTGATTACAATTCCTCTCTACTATTAGAAATATAAATTTAGAAGCAAAATAATAGCTGAATTTTATGCATTGAATAAGCAGTCTTAGAATATATTAATTAAGTTTGTTGACTGGTATCTATTCAGGAAAAAGCTGTCTGAGTGAAACACTTATATACGAGAATAATTCAGTGAAAATACACTTTTGCTAAAGTAATAACAGTCTCATTTTGTAGTGTATAGTAATGCAATATGAACACTTAGACAGAAATTGACAGAATAACATTAAATTACCTATTAGATTAGATTCTTGCTGTAGCAAATACCTGTTCAAGTATATTGTCTGAAGTACAATTGTTTATGTGTGAGTTCAATTAAAGTTTTTAGTGGTGAATGCATTTTGCTTAGAAAAATACTTTTTGATGATTTAGCATAAAAAGTTCCAACAGTTATAGACATGAATTATACCAAGTTGTTTATTAACTATAAAATGTAGAATGCTGTCTAGTAAATGTGATGACAACTATTTTGTCAAATTAACGCATTGTAAGAAAAAAAGAGGGAAAAGTTTAACAACCAAGTGCATTGCCGATTTGATGAAATAAACAAGCTTTCTTCATTCATATTGCTAGTTTTCAGATATCATTTTATTCTAGAAAGCACTAGTTTCTTTAACCCTTCATTTAAGGCATATTACATAGAGCTGAATGAAGCACTGTGTTCAATGTGCTTATTGTGTGTGTGTAGATCATAAAAAAATCAACTTTCTCAAAACAGGGGAATCAAAACAGTGTTAACTTAAAACACTGGAAATTTATCAACTGAACAAAATATGCCTCAGTCCATCTTTGACAGATGATTATTCATTAGGAGTTAGTTTAAATGTTTCAGACATATATAAACAGCTGAGATCATGTGCGTAGCTGTAACCCACTGAGATAGAGCAGGAATGTACCATCTTAGAAGCGTCCATAGTTTGTTTGAGACCGGACAGTGGGGGGGTTGGAAAAAAACCTAACGCTGTGGGAGCGTTGACAGAGTGCCTTGCCTGCAGTGCTCGTTTTCATGCTTAAACGTAACTATGATGTTGTTTGCCCAACAGAGGAATACAGGGATAACTGGAAATTCATAGTATCAACCTCTCCTGTCGAGACCTCGTTTGGGATTAAAATAGTGACTTTGTAGTGACTTTCTTTATAATTGTGTTGGAGGTCGAATTTCCTAAGCACTGGATTTTCAAATGTTCGTTTCAAATATTTATAAGCTCATCATAATTTCTTCTAACACAATTATGCAATTCAAATTCTAATTTAACAAAGGTTATGAAAACCCACGGAAAATATTCGCAGTGCCAGGAAATGAAATCATACATTTCGCCAGTTAAGCTACTCATCCTAGTTTAAAGAGGATTAACGATTCGACCAAACTTGACCACCACTTTATCTGTTCAGGAAGTTTCATCTATTCTCAAAAGCTTGTTATTAACAAAACACCAGCCTTAATAGAGAAGACTATTTGGCATTTATCAAATTTTTCTAGGCTGAGCGCTGACGTTTGCGCAACTATGTGGCCATGAAACAGAGATTTTAAGGATATATATATATAAAGGTAACAGATAATGTGAATACAGGTATTTCCCTTCTTTATTCAAATTAAGTGGACCAAAACATCTGTTAACAAAAGAGTCGATGGAAGAGATTTAGACTGCAGAAGTCTGTCAGAAGTGGCTAAGGAAGATCTTATACGTTCAAAGTCATTACCTAACCCACTATTATTATTACCTGAAGTAACAAGCTAAGAAAGACTTATGAATGATCTGATTAACACATAGTATTCACCTCTAAATTCATTGATTCTTAATCTAGATTGCCTGGTTAGAATTTGGACAGTATTGACATTTGTAGGCTGAAGTTATCTGATTGCACATTCTAACATTTTTCACAGTTGAGAAGATCGATTCACATTTCATCAGCTTGCAGTCGTGAACATTTTTTTATCTCTAAGTTATTGTCTGTTTTACAAAGTTCTCTTTAACTGTTGCATTATTGCAACATTTTTGTTCTCTTATTTGATGTATGCTATTTTGAATGATGATTCATGTGCGAAATTCTAAACTGGTTCGTTAATCAGTCACTTGGTTTTCCACGTGCAAGATGCTAAAATCTGAGGTGAAAGAAACCTTACATTAGCAGACATTAACTTGATTTGATTATCAACTCTAATGTTCATGTGGATCTCATACACATGCACCATAATACTGACAACAAATAAAGGTTAAATATGAGTGCCTGGCTATAATTAATAAGTGCAGTCAGTCTTAATAGCTTCATCTGCCTTGAGGTAAACAAATACTCCAGCATAGACTACACTAGGCCTTCAAATGTGAAGTTTCATTGAGTCATATTCTTTTATAATGCCCTTGTCAGATTACTCAAACTAGTACACCTCTAATAATCGTTTTTCACCTGAATTAACGTGCATATGCAGCACCTACTTCTACACACGAAACTTTACCCTCATTTCATCTGTGCCATTTTAAGGGGTCTTTGCCATTTTAAATACTTGACCTCGTAAAGTTATCAGCGTGGGCGGAAATAATCATATGTTACAAATAGGTTTATACATCGATATTAATTCTACTATCCCCTATTGCCCCTACCTTGAAGCTTAACTCCTCTTTATCTTAAGTTTCTAGTATCAGAGGTTAGTTGGTGGATGGTAACTAGCAGTGGAATCTAGGATGCAGATTTCGTCTACTTGGGACTCGTCACCTGGATGGGCCTGCGTTCTCCTGTGAGTGATGATGTTCCCACATTGGCTCAAACCCAGTGCCCGTAGTTGCAAACACCACTCGGGTCAAGGCAGCTACGGGTTTCATTAATTACGCACATCAGTTTTGATTTTCCCCAGCTGGCATATCAACCTGAGATCGAGAACTTCGGTCCAGTCAGTCGACTGGACGATCTTAATTGCACTAAATAATTGATATGACTCGTTGCAAAAGAGGTAGCTCTGATGGTCAAAGTGGTCTAGTGGATAATGCTTCAAAGTTTGAGACTACATGTACTGGGTTTCAGCCTCAATGGGAACGTCATCACTCACTGGGGAATGCAGGTACGCCCAGAAGATGAGTCGTAAATAGGACGAAATGCGCATCCTTGATTCCACTGCTACTCACCATTCACCAACTAACCTCTAATTATATGCCCAGACACCGCTGAAGCACCTGCCCAAGAAGCTGACATGTCAACTTGCAACCGAGCACTTTGATCCAATAAATCGACGGGAAAATCTAAAATTCAACTAGATTTCTAGTATTACTTTGAGAATTTTATCCTACAGTATTGGTTTGGAAAATAGGAATCCCTGAATTCATAAATTCAGATGTTTTTGTACCAGAAAATATCAATGTACAACAAAATTTTCCAGGGCTGTGAGCATGTCTATAAAATCAGTAATTTAATTAACTTATGTATGTTTATATATCTCCAGAACTTGAAAAGGAGGTTATCAAAGTTACTGTATTCCGATTTCAGTTAACTATATATTTTTTAGTAAAGCTTCACTTCATGAGGTTAAAGGTTCAAAAAGCGGAAAAATTAAGGTCATTAGTTTCATGTAAATAGTGCATGCATGAGAGAATATTTTGAAAACATCATTCATGCGGTGGAATTACAGATTGAGCAGCTTACTTAAAGTAAAAAGCATTTTTAGATTTCCATTTATAAGGAATTATTGTGATGCTTTGAAGTCTACTGAACCAATCCTGTGTTATTAGTTATTTGTTGTGGTAATCTAAGGCGAATCGACTGTTAACAATTAGTGTGACATTGTGAATTCCAGGTAAGTGATAAACGAATATTAGTGAGAATAAATGACTATCCCTGCTTATAAGTAATAAATCGACTTTATGTTTTGCATAAATATACTGATAATTAAAAAAGCGCTTTAGATAACAGACTTACCTTTAGACAAAATATTAGGGATATTGGTAAAGTAATAATGATGAGAAAAATGCACAGTATATGTAAAAAGCTTTCCATAAACCAATCCTCATCTGTATGCACAGTGTTATGTACTAAACTACGTGTTTCTTCACTATCCTCCATTAAATCTTTTGTTACAAAATACTTCTTTAATGATAGCATTCTGCGAAGACGATCACGTTTTGCTTCTGTTACTTGTTCCAGTTGAGTGACAAGCGATTTTTTAGGCTGAATTAGAGAATAATTTTTAAAAAACTCAACATTCGCTGAATCGTCTTTATCATAATCCTTGGCTAATGCCAATATTTGTAAGAGTTCTTCTGGAACATCTGCTAAGTCTGATGTTTCTGGTACTGTTGGTGGTGGCAGTTTGGATGCAGACAGGATAGCTTCAGCAATCAATGGGTCAGCCATCTCTTTTCGTTTCCGTTTTGCAATAACAAGACCTAATGGATCTTCTTTTGAATGTTTTCCACCTGAAAGGTGAGATAACGGAGCCATGAGATTTTTAGCTGTAGATTGTGTTTCACTTGATTTCGGTGGTGTGTTTTGTTTGAATGTTTCAGTACTTTCCTGGTCTGAGTTATCCATAACAAATAGATATAATTTAACAAAATCTTTAGAATTTATAAAAAATCTTGTGAATGACAAATGGAGATTTGAGAGTAAAGTTGAGTGATTAAATGAACATTCAATTTGAATATGGGTGTTGAAAGGTCCAGGAAACCGCATGACATCCTTGTGATACCAGTCATTTAGAATAAGGTAAACTTTAAAATATTTTTTAAAAAGTCATAATGATTAAAAATGCTTTCTAAAATTCGGCTTATTTGTGAATAGTGGAAATTATGAATTATATGACGTTGTAATAAACTTTTCTATGAATAAACTCTATGGTGATTGGTCAAAATGTCGAGAAAATTCAACAATCTTATTGGCTATTAAGTAGTAGACATCACTTATGAATGAGTGTAAATGTTTTATTGTAATTATAATAGTGGGAAAATAACGAGTCAGCAACACAGTTGTTTAATTTTATACACAACAATTAGTCTCATATCACCAGCATATTATTATTTTTCGTTAATAAGAACAGGTTAGAAAATTTTACTTCGAAAGAGACAAACAAAGTGGGTTTTGCAATCGGCAGTGGATTTAAATTAGTGAGTTGTAACCAGTAGTGTCAGCCAAGTCAGGCAAGAAAACGCTTACTTGCCTATGACAATGGCTGATGGCTTTATTAAATGTCGCGAGTAGGCAGTAGTTGGAATTCGTGGGCTATTGGATCAGCGCCCAGTGGCTGAACTGTCTACCGTAATGGACACGGGTTCGAAAGTTAGCGATGTGTGTACTGCTGGACAATCCCAAACTAGGACAAAATAGCTATCCAGTACCCTCTGGTTTTCAAACGGTTCTCTAACTGATGTTGGCTTGTAATCAAATCTGTAAGCAGTCAGATCACTTCCGACCGACAATCAATAATTTGCACTAATTATTAAGTCGCATAAGAAGCAAAAATCCTGATGAATAGTCTTAAATCGCTGGGCTAATTAATAATTCATCCGCCAAGCCGCATCAAATTTGTTCAATTCCATGTTTCTTTTTATTATCCAGTTACATCCTTGAATTATCACTCATACCCATTTTCACATAGACTTCAACCCACGCATAATGGGTTCTATGAAGCAAAAGAGACTGTAGAGTACTCGAGCATGCTTTTGATAGAATAACATTGTTTCGTGTGACACACTGCTTGAATATTAAACAAAACAAACTAGTTTTTTGATGTGGTTGTGTTCTCCAAGCTGGATAGGTTCATTGCGAAACTTTCATCGCTGTACTAGGCAACATCTCCAGGGCATACTTCAATTTGAAGTGAGCTTTTAGATTTCTCCACGAGTTTATCAGTCATCTCCCCTGGTGACCTTGAAAGTGATTGGTTGTTTTTGTGTGTTTTCATACCCTTTAGGCTACTGTATTGGAATTGATTGTCCCTTGACTTAAATTTCGACCCTTTGTGTTTGATATTTCCTCCTTATCGGTTGGTAAATTTTGTCTATCTCGATGTGTCAATGGATTGACGATTCACTCAAATACCAGGTTCTAAAACTTTTTCAGCATTCTTGTTGTTTCCTCTGTTTAATATTTGAATGTTGTCCCAGTCGAAATGAAGTCCGTGGTTGTCTGTATGTAGTGATATGAGGGAGTGGATGTCATGTCTTTTGACAGCTAGTTTAAATTCATTAATACGAAGACGAAGGGGACGTCCACTTTGGCCAATGTAGCCTTTTTCGCAGTTTTTACAATTTACTTTTTAGATGATGTTGGTTTTGTCTTCGTTCGCTGTTGAGTCTTTTGGGTGAAATAGAATTGAGTGAAGTAACTTTGTTGGTTTGTGTACGTTGTGAATTCCTAAAGGTTTGAAGAGTCTTGTGGTGATTTCTAAGATATCCTTTATATATGTTAAGGCGATTTTCTTTGTGCTTTTCCTTGGAGGCTTTTGCTTTGATAGGTTGGCTTGTGGGTATATGTTTTTTGATGAAATTCCGTGGATATCAATTCTTTTGAACGACGTTCATGAGATATCTTTCTTCAATCTTCCTTAAGGTGGGAGTGCTGCAATGAGTCCTGGCTCTCTTGAATAGTGTGTTATTGGATTGTTGCTGTTGTAATTCAGTATTTGGTCCGTGTGAGTTGAGTTTCTAATTCCTTTATGGTTATTCGCTTGACTAAGACGTCCAAAATGGGATTTTGCTCTCGGATTCCTCTTCTCTTGTAAATTTGATGTCACTGAAGATGTTATTTATTAAGTTGTGAGTTTTATCCAGCTCGTTTCATTTGATTATTACAAATGTGTTAACTACGTAACGTATCCGAATTCTGGGTTTGATCTTTGGTAGGATTATGTTTGAGAGCCTTTGCATCACTGCTTCTGCAGTCAAACCTGATATTGGCGATCCCGTGGGTGTTCCTTTGACTTGTTCACAAATTTGGCCGTTGAATTGGAAGTACGTGTTTTGTACTTTTGATTGTTGTGGAAGGTGCTCGTCGTTGCTAAGTAATGCTCCATGGTTTCTTTTGCTAGTTTCTATCCGTTTGAGGTATATATTACTGTTACATTGAAAAGAAGCATTATTTCTTGGTCATCTATCTGGATGACTGTGATTTTCTCTGGAAATTGGATAATAAAGTTGATGGAGTGATCGCAAGATTCCGTTAATTGTTACAATTTTCTGTATAACTCTTTGGATAAGTTGCATGTTGGAGTTCCTGAGAGTCGTAACGGGATATTTGGCTTGCGCATATTGGATCTTCCATAGAATCGGGGTAGGACTGGTCCATTGAATTTCATTCGCCATTGGTCTTGCTTTGTGATCTGACCATTTTTACTGACCTGTTTAAGGTTCTTTGGATGCGGTTGTCTGATGTTTGTATGGGATTTGTTGAAAGTTGGTGATGTATATTCTCGTCTTTGAATAGTTCTTCGGCTTTTTTGGTGTATTCTACTCTGACAGTGACTACTGTTTTTCTCCCCTTGTCAGCTATTAGAATGACAATGTCCTTCCTATTTTTCAGCTTTTTAAGGGCCTTTAGTTCTTGAGAGTTGAGTTGTATATGTTGTTTTTTCTGTTTGAACACTGGTACAGTTGTTTGGCGTATCTCTTCTTGTGTTTCCTCCTTCAAGTTTGATGATTTGAGTAATGATTCAAGTGCAGCGAGGAAATCAGTTTCCGAAGCATCTCCGGTGTTGTAGTTTAGTCCATTTTGTAGTAGTTGCTGTTCCATTCTTGATAGTGGTTGTTTTGATAGGTTGACTACACAGTCAATAGGTGTATTGCCTGTTTGTTGTCTTCTAATCTTAGCTAGCTTCGTTTTGAGGACTCTTCGCCTCTGTTCTCTGTGTTTTCTTCTTGACAATTTAATTGCATTGATCAACATTTTCTCTAGTTTTTCTTTTTAGACATCTATTATTTGTTGATATTTGTTGATCCGATAATGTGCGTCTGTAGACTGTTGATATTAGATGGTTGGGGCAATCGTCACCGTGATGGCAAGCCACCCAGCACGGTGACCACATTGCAAACTTGACTGATAGAATTCAGTCTGCACCAAAGACAGGACTAGGCACACACACCACAGTAGTTAATGAATAGCGTCCAGTCAAAAAAGAAGATTATATACAGAAGTGCGGAAAATAATTCATTTGCATGTATGGTCAATTTAACATACTTTGAATTATTACTTGCTTCTTCTTCTTCTTTTTGTTCTCTTATTCCGATTTCAGTACACTCCATTTCAAAATGATAAAGTGTAATGCTTTTAATCTGCATTCAGTTGCGTAACTATTATGAAGATTTTAATTATATAGATAGAATGGTAAAACCAAGAGCAAAAGACATACATTTAGGTCTTTCTACTCACTAGTTTCCTTCATTTGTATTTGTCTAAATACAAATATGAAATTTACACAAATTTCTTAAAATATCTAACATAAAAGAAAGTAGAATAAGACAAAAAATTATTTTGTACAATACAAAAATCATTCCCAGTACGAAAAAGGTAGCTGAGGAATGAAAAGCAGAAGTATTCATTCACTGTACAACACTCACACTGAATGACAAATGTAATATGTAAATAAGTCTTCATACACTCCGCGCATATAACATTTATGGGTTTTTGATGCATAACAAAATACCGAATATGCAAATTAATATCCCTAAGACATTATGCATCAGTTTGCATTAGAACAGTCATTCAAAAAAAATACCTATTGAAGTAATTGATACATTCCTATAGGAAATAGGAATTCGAAATGACAAAGAAGGATTATTTCTAAAATAATGTGTATGTTACGAAAGCGCCTTATTTTTTTTCTCGTTTGTTGATGCACTAAGTAAGGATGAGAAAATTAAATATTTATTGTTTGCTATGCTTAATCTATATTTGAGCGTAAATCGCTTTAATTCTAATGATAATGAGGTATTGCACGCACTGATTTGGAGAGTTAGTGATGGTTCTTAAAGTTTCCTTCAAGTGTACAGTAGTTTACACTTTTTTTTCAGTCACAAGGCTCCGTCAGACCGAAGACTTAATAATTTAAATCTGTCATTCAGACAAACCACAGAGTTGTAAGCCTGAATGAGCTCTTTTATTAATTGGTCGGTTCACTGAGTTACAAGATATCATGCAGCGGTGTAGTTACTTATAAATGTCTTCATACAATGAAAGCTTAAATGCTACTTCACTTTTATCGAATTGATCACTTATCTGATGGACACAGGTGTCTTGAAACACTGAAAACTCTTTGACTCTACGCTATTTATTAATTAGTATCGTCCGTCAAGTCCTTTGTTTTGGTACAGGCTGAATTCTCTCAGTCAAGTTTCTAATGTGGCATGCCATTTAAATGAATTCTGATTTGTAGTTACTAAATTGTTAGAGTTAATCGGTAAGAAGCCTTTGGCCTCGGTTTCATGCTTGTTAGTATTCATCAGCAAGACATATCTGCAGCCTAGGAGGAACTCGTATCCCTTACGAGATCCCAGCCGTGTCATCCGGTGCTGCAAGTAAACACGTCACCTTTGAGTTATTCCAGCCCACATTTTACCTCCTGGAGGACTATGTTGGTTACTTCGATTAAACACCAGGTAGTAAGTAGTGGTCTGAACTAGGATCTCAGAACAGACACTATTTTCTTCAAGACTGTGGATGCGCCTTGCCGACAACTGCTAACAAATACGACACCTAGGTCTAAAGCTATTCACCGACTACCTCCAACCCTCTGAGAATAATAAAGTACTCTTTTCATTGTGAAACGCTAAAGTCTTTTTGATATTTACATCCAGGAA